AACAGGTACACAAAACTACTTCCCAAGTGTTTAGCATAGCAATGCATCAAAGAACCGAATCTCCGTCCCACAACTATGAGTCCATCCACTTACCTGCTGCGCCATCGAGCCACGGCGACGGCTGTGTCACGAGGGGTTTCACAAGCGCAAAGCATGGGCAGGGGGCCCACCGCAATGGTTAAGCACGGTAGCAAAAAAGGTCCGTAACTTCTCACCCAGAATCGTTTAGCAGATTTGGAAGTCAGATCTGATATCAGCGTCCGAAGACGCTTCTAGTGGTATACATCTCATTCTGAATGGCGACGCAAAGTATGAACGCACTCTAACGATTGTCGTCATCATCATTGAATCTGGTCCGCTGTTGCTGTTACGACTGTTGGATTTTCCTGTATTGAAAATGCCATGATGAGAACTATTTCGCTTCATTTAGGGAGCTGTTGAGGCAAATATGAACTCACCTTCTGCTACGAATGCCTTCAGTGAATTAATGGATATGGCGATACAACGCCGTATCGAGGAAGACAGTGACTACGACCCATCACGTTATCCCAACATCGATCGTCGGTATACGAGAAAATATTGAATATAAGTGATAGATTATATGCTCAGTGTATGTCACAGTTCACTTGGCAACAAATTTTTTTGTTTTGACTAAGAGTTTTCATATCGCTGTTTTCCCCGCTGTCGTGCCGTTATTTATCCCAGGTGGCCTGAGCAATTTATCAGCTGGGATTTTCATTTGTGATAGCTGCTTTGTTTTCTGTTTCTAATTCTGCTTCTTTGTTATGCTTTTGTTGTTTAGAAAATTGAGCTACTTTTTAAAAGAACTAAGTTTTCAGTTTCATAGTTTGAGAGATGGATGTTATAACTGGCTTTCATTTGAAAAAAAGTAGTTTTACAAGATTTTGCAGAGTAATAAATCTTTTCACAAAGGGTAAAAAGAAATTAGTCGTGTTGCCGAGCACAACCGTACTATTACCGCCTTACATTGGTTATCACTTTGGTTTGCGAAAACAGTGTTCTCAATAGCGAAGTTTTGAAACAGAGTTCCCGTTTATCCTTTTGGTTGTGGTGTTCATCACATTTTCTGGTAATTCCACTCGTTGTGGTGTTCAAGTGCGTTTCTCTAGAACAATGAAATCTGGAGGGGAGGTTGTGAACCGCCTCCTCTTAGAGTCAAAGATCTCGTTGGGGAGATTCGAACCGTTTGTAGGACTTCCCACCCCCCCCCCCCCTCCGCCCCAAAGAGGATGTCGAAGCGACTCCCTCCCTTTCTACTAAATAAAAAAGAACAAATAACTGAAATAACTAACAGTTCTTGAAGGGACGCAGTGCAGTTGCTTTTCTTTTAGCTGTCGGCATTAGAGCGCGCTATTTCAGTGGTTCTTACGCTGAAGCTTCGAAAACGTGGTAACCTTAAGAAACAACATTTTGCAAAGCGATAAGTGCGATCGTAATTTTTTTCAAAAGAGTCGATTGATTGGTTCTAGTCTTGGAGAACGGTGGCTTTGAACACCGGTGGTCATCCGTAATTCCTTGAACAGCTCACGTTCAACTGCCTCGAAGAGGATTGACCTGCGACAAGGACTTAATGTCTCTGTTATCAGTATCTCTTCAAGAAGAAATTCGCTCTGCCTTGGAGTACAACGATACAGTGCCGCGACAAAACTGTTTCTCTCTGCATGGAACTCTCTCAGTTCTCGGTCCTTTTTGTTAAGGTTTCCGACTCATCGTGCTCGTTAGAGTTCATATGAGACAGTTCTACGGTAAATAATGCCTTTTAGACTAATGAGGGAACAAGTTCGTAGCGCCTCGGAAATCTTGGCACATGCCAGGAAAAGTGCACGGAAACAAGTTGGTGTTTCCATTCTTGATCATACCTTCTCTTCTAAAAGTCTTAATCTTGAATGCAGGATGAATTCAGTAGAGGTGGCTTCCATTTTGTTGCTGTTTGGGATCATATTTTGGAATCTCAATGTGCGCATGACGAAGCAGGTGATGCACAATGTTCTGTAAGTTTTCTGATGGATACCTTGAAGGATTTCTGGGTGACTCCAGTCACCGATGAGAGGGATTTTTTCAGAGGTGTCGTTTCGAGAGCTCGTTGCGTTTGCCAGAACTCCCTGAAATGGTGTTTCCAAATAACACTCTTACTATCGAGTTTACAAAGTTTGCCGGTTCGTTGTTAGTATTTACATTCTCGTCCGCAAGCTTACGCTGTGTTCTTTATGTGATTCCCTCAATTCAGTTACTTTTAAGACTGAATGATCTTATGTTTTACTGATAATTAGAAGTAAGACCAGTCTGTTGGAATGCATTCGAACTTTGCGGTGTTTTAAGCGCCTGACAGCCTTTTTTAGCGGCTGAAAATGTACAGATCGATTGTCGCTGAAAATGCTGCTGAACGCTCGAAACGTTGACGCTTAAAATCGCTCAGAACGCTGGCGGACGCTCAAAACGCGGATGCACCCCTGAAGCGCTGGATCGATACCCGTGTATATTTCCTTAGTTGCTGTAACGCCTGATATGCTCAAAACGCTGACACGCTCAAGACGAGCATGATGAGCAAAGTATGAACGCAGTCCTACTCTACCAATCAAAGCCACGAAAAGACAGTGTTATGCTGGAGGGCTTGAAAAGAGCTGGCTTCAGAATCTGCTTTCTGGTTAAGCACTGTGGGAGTAAGTTTTCACGTATGATTCTTTAGGTAAAATTTGCCATCATTGCAGGGAGTTCCATAAATTTCAATGCTCTTGATGCTTTAAAGATGGTATCCCCCGATGTTCTCCCGGATGTGCAGGTCAGTGTTTTCCCTGCTCTCTGTCGATGCTGTTTTTAGTGGGAATGAGCTGCTGTATTCGTATTTTTTTTACCACCCCTTGATTAATTTATCCAAAGGAAATGGTGTTGATTGCTAAAATTTCCGCGAATCGTTATGTGCAGCCAGCTGTAACTGTTCAGCAATCATACTGAACTCACGTTTCAGTAGAGCGTGACTATCTTTATTTCTCTTCTGCCTTCTCTC